TCTAGGTATGGATAACTTTGAAAAGTAAAAGTTTATTCATTTGTAAATCATATATTTATCATTACTTTATACTATCAACAATTTGTTACCTTATATGTTATATCATCTACAGTTTTTATGATAACACTGTTTTTTAAACATTTTTGTAACGCATATTAAAGAACTAATATGTTTGATGCTTTAGATAAAAAAAGAATACATATTTACTTTGCTTTATTTATTATCTGTTTTTAGATTTCTATGTTTAGGATAAATGAAATTCAACCACCTTAGTAACTATTGATAGGTTGTCTTCAAATTTAAATTTATTACAATTAGGTTGGAAAAATGTATTTGTTAATTAAATTGTTAATATATTTGTAATAACCAAGTTAGTAGAAAATTAGATTTTTGGCGTTTTGTAACTATGTAGCGGACTTTTCAAGAACAAATTGTTATTTACAATCTATCCAATGTTCAATTTATTTGGAATTACGAAGTCGAATTCTAGTAATGATACATTCAAACTCAATGAAGTGAAAAATTTAACTCTGACGACTTAATCAGTTAAATGTTTTTTGAACATTTTACAGTATATTTGAGAAGATATGAAGTTATTGTAGTCTTCTTTTGAAAAAGCGATACTTAGTTTACACGCAGTAAAATTTATACAAACAATACATCTTAAATACTGCGTATCTACGTCAAAAGCACATAGTGAAAATTCCAAAATTAAGCTAAAAAACAACGTAGTTACTTACTTACTGACTTACGCCTGTTACGGCTTATGCTCCATTGGGAGTAACAGGCGTAAGTAAGTAACTAAGTTGAAAACTATTAACGCTCTTAAATTTTAAAAAGTACTCGTAAGAACAAAAATACAATTTTTAATATGTTTTGGGATAAAAAACAGTTTACAAAACCAGCGTACAAAATATAGCATTGCCATGCATCTTTCAAATAGATAGAAACGAAAGATTTTTCATTTTTAACTTCTCATAGAGGGCTCATCAGACAGGAGTATCTCATTGTTTGTTGAACGAAAATGTTGTCTACTACAATGATTCGTGACCCTTTTCTGTTTGACTGGTATCACAAACTTATTTCGTTATAGACACCATTAATGCCTTAAGATCAGTCAGTGACAAGTACTACGAATTGTTGCATTTTTTGCTACAGTGTATTATATCATCAAAGTAAATCCTTTAATATCTGATTGGCACCGAAGTGTAGAAAACAGTGCTTTATTCAACCAACAAATTTCTATGTATTCCTCTTTTAAATGTCCTATCTGCTCTCTGATTGTTATAAATATTACTTTGTCCATTACACTTACCATTTCGTTTTTCCAATCATTGAGTCAGTCCTTCGACATAGTTTTATAATCACTAATGAAATTATAAAACTACTGCTTGATATGTATTATTTTATTATTATCAATAACATATATATATATATATATATATATATCAGGAAAGAACGATGATGAAATCTAATCGGAAAGAACTGTTTCTTTGTTTCGTTCATTTTGCTTTACCAACTTCTGACCAAGAATTCAATTTTGTACAATAATTGGATATTGACTAAGCATATCACCATCCTATAAAAAACTAGATTTGCACAAAGTATGAAGGAAAATATATCTTTAATTAGAAAAAAATATTTCTCAAACTAGGATATAAAGATAGTTATATTTTGAAAAAGCGTATTACATTAATATAGATATAACAGACTTGAACCAAAACGATTCTGCAGTAAAATATTTTTTAACATTATAAGCTTTTATATGTCTTATTAGAAAAGATAAACCTACAAGAAGTTTGTTATATCTTGAATGTTGATTTCTTGATATACCGCGTATAACAGAACACTAGAACAACAAAGCCCTTCCACATCTCAATAAGAAGACAGAAGACTAATGAGAGGAATATTGTTCCAAACAGTGTTAATCATAGTACAAGATTGTCAGGTATTTATGGTTTTTATTAAGAACGAAATCATCATTACAGTCCTCCAATCCGCATACAGGGGGCTATTAGCATTATCCAATCGGGAAGCTACACGTAGGGATTCTAGAATATTCTTCCGAAAGGTGATTGGATAGAAAATCTTCGGCTCTTTCTGAGCCTCTTACAGCTTCCTCGAGTTCACCGGTGGTCTGTCGTCACAAAGTTATAAACGTGTACAACGTATTTTTTTTTAAAAAATATTTATTTCACAAAGGAATTTTTATGGATATTATATTAATTTCAATAGTAGAGATCATGAGTCAATCGAAGCTAGACCACCATGAAAAACAGAGAATAGTTGGTGTGAAAACGAAAGAACAATGAAGTCTGAAACGATTGACTGACATTTTGCAAAGGAAATATTTACCGTATGGTTCTCAGATTTCACTAAGCTATTCTGTAATTTTATATTCCACTACACTCAATTGTTCCCACTTGTGTTATCATTCACCATATTATATTCACATTTATAAAGTCTTAGTGAGATTTTCATTCATAGCTCATGGAGTGATAACCCCTCATTATTTTGATATTTTGTTAATACTTAGTTGTTAAACATTATTTACAATGTAGTAAAGTTTTATCATATTCATTAGGAAAAAAATAGGTAGTATTTGTATACGAAATGATTAACTACTTAAATATAGTGTTCATTTAAACGGTTGAAGTTTTCTTCACGGAATGACTTTCATGAGAAACAACAAGGTTTGTATCAATACCTAGTAATAATAATAATAATAATAATAATAACAGTAATGAGTAAATAATCGTTTTCTTACATTCACTATTGCTGAATAAGTTTCTACATTACTTCTTAATAAACTAATCATTTTTCCTGATTATTACAGATCATGAAAACCTTGTTTACTTTAAATTATTTATTTTCATCTAATAAAACAAAACAACTAATTATTCAAAATACGTGAATATTTCCCTTAAAAATTCACAATCTTGTATACACTTATTTCATTTTATGTAAATATTTCATAAACATGTGATATGCTAAGAAATGAGAGTAAAGAATAATCTAAATAATGATTAACTCAGATTGAATACATGCAATTGAAATAGTTTTTTGGTGGAGTTTCGTTCTCTGAATTGGATAGTTTGGTCGTAGGGCTTTCATCGTTATATTCTGAACGACATCATCAGTACAAACTTCAGGTAGAAGTGAAGTGATCGGGAAATGTTGATGAAATAAAATGAAAGCTTCACAACCAAACCATTCAGATCAGAGAACAAAACTCCACTAAAATCATCCACCTGAGCTTTAAATCTTCTCCACTATCTCAAAATTGAAATAGTAAAATGAATTGGAAGAATAATTAAGTACATTTTGTATTGATTCAAGATTTATAAATAACTTCCAAATTTTTATTCTAGTGATTATCACCTATATAAAACAATCCAATTAATCTAAGAAAATGTCTTGTTATTAGAATTCAAGTATGTTATGAAAAAGTTGACATCAAGCATGCTAAGATGCCTTATACTGTCAAAACTATTTCCATACAAACTGAGTACTGCTATGACAAATTTGTTTATGGTATTTAAATCTTTCTATAGTGGGTGAAACGTTTTTCTACAAATGCTGTTTGACATTGAACTTATTATTAATGCATCATCATAGTTCAGAAGTGAATCCCAAACTGTTCGATTATTGTGATTTTGACTCATACAAGAAAACAAAACCTCCGTTGCTAGAATGTCTAAATGGTTATTACGCTTTATATCCATATATTCATGCTGATATTATGATAATCAAATAAAGTTTTCTTTCACTTACATTTATAAGCTTGGTTAGTTGATCGGTGAATTCACTTTCAGTGTTCACCTTTAGTTCCCAAATTCTGGATTGATTGCTAGTTGTCATAATTTTTCTATAGACGAACTTATTAAACACAATATTCGGATTTTTTGATTATATACCTACTCCATGTTAGATCATAAGGCTGTGACCAATGGAATTCAATCATGCTAGCTGTGAGGCAGTTGCCGATCGAAGACAACAGAAGTGGAACGCGTGACATCATGAATTGATTAAAGGTAGAAATTAACACTGTTTGGTCGCGGTTCAGTGGTCTGAAGGTTAAGCGTTCTTGCGCTAAACCGACGGTACTGGGTTAGATTCCCGAGTGTGGGGTTGTGAACGCACACTGTTGAATAGTCCAATACTTGGACGAAACGGCCATCAGTGACTACAGGTTTTCAATAGTGGTTTAACATTGATCAATTCACGATTTAGTGAAACTCATGAATCTCCTCAACCCCATCAATTAAATCACCCTCGCGAAAATTGGCCACATGACTTTTCATATTGATGATGATTAGGTTGTGCGTTAAGTTCCACAACTAGTACTTCACTTTAACATTAACATCAATAAGTGGAGTACGTTATTCGCTATTATCGAAAATCTCAAATGTATTCAAGTTCAGCGGTCAACTCGAGGCGAATTTTTCACATAACTTACTAATTTTGTTGTAGAAACTGAGCAAGTCAAACAATGCATGAGGTGAAGCGACTATTAAAATTAATTCGTAACTAATACCACAAAATGAAATTCATAAATTAACTGGCATTTGTAAAGCATACAAAAGATGGTAGTTTTAATGAGTTAAACACAGCTATTTGAGTATACATGATTTTGATCTTGATTAAGCTCATTCAAGCAATTATAAGTTGCTAGTCTAATCTCTATAATATATTCATAATCTGTCAATGAAACTGAATAGATTTATTAAATACATAATGTTAATCTTATCAAAAAAGTGGGAAATGTATGTAGTTTACTAACTAGTAGCTACTACTTATGCTCTTTATAAATAATCTTTTAAGATGCGGTTTGAATTTCCAACATAATCAACTAAATAGCATTTTTAAATGTCCAAATAGAGATCATATATTTACTAAACGTTTTGTTATTTGAGTGACAGCTTAAATCATCAATAATTATCTATGGTATAACTTTCTCTTTTTTAGCCAATACCCCATTCAGTTAAATTCACTTTGAAATGTTTGGCAAAATACAAATTCTAATTTTTTTGCTTTCAACAATTATGCTTTATAGCATGCAAACAGGTGAGTAAGAACGAAAACTGAACTATAATTTTAATGATATGAAATTATATGAGTACTTGTTTGTTTTAAATAATTCAATGATACTGTTTACGTTTGAATAACCCTTATAGACATTCTGACTAGTGATATATTGCAGGTAGTGATGATTACTTATATCATATATTACAACCTTTACTATACACTTTCCTGTATTTATTTTAAACTGAATGAGAAAGTAAAGGTCAACCGGAATGAAAATTTAATGAGATTTTCGGACACTCAGTTCAAACAGAATGGATCGATGGGAACACAAGGTTACGGAAATATTGGATAATTTTTCTAGTTAAAATAAAACTAACTTCATAAGATTACATGAAGTTGAAGTTAAACGTTTGCAGTGAGTAGAGAGAATGTTATAGACGAACTCAGATAATGAAATTATTTCACAAATAGAAATGCATTTTAAATACAATTGAAGAATACTTTTGTTTATATGAGCTTACAGTGTCATATATATCATGTAATCGATAGTATAAACCTTATAATCATTCATATTGTTATAACGCTCGGTTTTACTTCGTCTAATGTTATGACGGTTGGCTTTCCACGTTTACACGTATTAGACGTTAATTTACCTTAAACGAATATTTACACTAGATTCCCTCCCAGTGTCTATTCTACATGACTTCAATACAATTCAGATCAAGAACACATGGTTAGCCTGACTACAACGTGAAAATATTTCCACACCAAAACCCGACACAATCCAACAACAATGAACAATCACTAATAAGTGAGTAATAATAGGGGAGTATATAACTCATCTAACACCTGTCAGACTATCTGCATGTCTGACTAAGCAGACAACCAATTATTATCATTCTCGCACACACACTACATATATTTTCAATTTAAACAATAAAACAGTAATAGATTGCATATTTATCCAACATTATATAGTATACCTTGTGGATAATACCAACATTATTTTCCTGTCATTTTTTGTGGTACAATTTTACTTGTTGCTTAGGTCCGGCTTATATGCATTTGAGTCAAAAGAGTTGTACTCAAGTGGTATTAGTTAAAATTCATAAGCTTACAAAGTCGACCATTTACAGCATATGTTTAGTTACTTCCACCTACAAACTGCCTTAAATAAACTTCTCTTCCTATCATGATAGTTTTCTGTCCTGTAAAATGTTAAGTATTTCTAAGTAAGGCTAAAAAACAAACCCATATAGTTCAGAACCATTCATAAAGTTACTTCGTAATTGTGATCTTCATAATGATAACAATTTCTATGATTTTTCATATTGTATTCGATATACTTGTTCTAGTAACAGAGTGTCATTTTGATTTGTTTATTAGGTATGCGATATTTAAATGACATAAGTCCCTTGGTATCTGATGTTCATTTTAACTAAAGGCTGGGCTCATTCTGAAGAGCTGTGAATTTGATAGAATTTACGTGACACTATAAGGTTCTTCTCTAATACCCAAGGCTATGAAGGTGATTGAACGGGGATCGATCAAGTCTCCCGAAAACTATAATAACTTCAATCCACTCAGTTAGGTTGTCACTTCAGTGAATGTGCGATTCTTCATAATCATCAACCAACACCACAGGTGATAACTATTTCTTTCTTGACGTAATGGAGTATTATAAATTATGTCTTTTCATTAGAATTTTAATGATATTTCTCCTAAGTAACAACTAGTGACCATATATCTGTTACTTAACTAGGGAACAGTTTTTGTCATTGAATGATATGAAATTTAGTAGACTTTACAAATCATTTTTCACGATTTCCTTGACGGTGTTTTAAGTATAGACAGGTGTAACATTATAAAACTTCACGCTTTTGGTACTTATTTATTAGATTTAACAAGATCCAACGAAGATTTATTATTGATATATAATCAATGAAAGTTTTTACCGTTACATTTTGTTTTATTATTGCTTTAGCTAATAAAATTAATGGAGAACCAATGCGTCGATGGTATCCTTTAGGAGTTGAAGCCCCTAGAAAACCTTCATTCAGTCAAGGTGATAGTGTTGCTGAACTAGAAATGCCTTATAATGGTGATCAATACGATTCAGAGGTTATGAAACGAGCTGTTCGATTAATGAGACTTGGTTAATCAAAAGAAAAAAGAAAAAAAAGTTGACAGAATAATAATTTTAACTAATATAAATGTTCATTAAATAAGAATTTATAATACATTTATCCATTACTTTTTTATTATTAAGTAAATTGTTTTATCATAACAATGGATTCTACATTATATGCTGATAAAAACATATATTTCATAGTGCAATGATTTCAGATTTTTTCTTTAAAGAATATTATGGATCAGTCAGGGGAATTTTTCGTTCAATAAATACATAACAACTAATTCAACAGTGAATCACTGTACAGTTTTAAGTATTCAAAGTTCAAGTAGTTTCTCCTTTAGATTATGATTTCATCACTTAATAGTTATTAAATATATAAAGCATATAACAAGATCGACTAAACTAAAGCGTTTTAGAGATTTCAAGGTTACAGCACCAACTTCAGTGCTTAATGCTAACTTGCGATCGGTTCACAGGGAGTTTTATACAAAACGTGATAATTGAGCGGCTATAAGAAATGAAACGGTGAGACTATAATTTGTGGTATACGATAATAGATCTCGGATTTTAACGTGAAAGCCTTCCATCCATTTGGCTAAATAAATTTCTGGCATTATAGCTGATGTCAGTTCGTGATGAAAACCACATATATAATTCCTAACTAAGACAAATTACAACAATTATTGCGAACTGGATAATAAAAGCACCAGTAACACTGGCTGCAGCCAATTACTACAATATATACGGATGATTGGAGAGCGCACAGACTCCTGCATAAGCTTGGTTATGTGCGTCGTGTCGTTATCCACAAGTAGCATTTTGTGCACTCAACAACCAGAGTGCACATAAACAATATTGAAGCTATGTGGTCGAGGCTGAGAGTTTTTGAGACTTAATCATAACTCCAGAGGCCGACTATTCTGTAGCCATATGGATGATTTAATCTACTGGATGCATTACGATTTTAGAACCTGTGAACCTCTTTCTAACCTTGACAAGTTTTTGGACCACGCATAAGAAGTGTATCCATTTTATTTCCTTGATTTTGTATAACATATGTTTACTCTAAACTGACTGTGTGCTGATTGGTTAATATTTCCCAAGGTCGCTTAGGATTCGTTCAAAGGTCGTCCATGAATCAGGGTCTCGCCACTTTTTAAAAAAAGCGCTTTGATGGAACTAAAATAATCGTCAAGAAAATTTGATCAATAGAAGATGGAGATAATAATTAACAATAGACTAAACGTTGATTACTTTCATTATATGAATAAAAATAATATGCTTTGATAATGTGATTGTAAACTTATCCCCTGTTTTAGGGGGATTCGAAACACTCTTTCCACTAGTCACTCTTAAGGGATTTTTATTATGTACCATATACTACTTTTCGATAAGTGATTTGTTCAATAAACCAAGCTATCAACAACTAAAATATGCCTCGACACATGGCTTCAGTTTAAGAAATCTGTAACTTCTGACTTGAAATATAGGTAATGATAATAATTTCCCTCCGATTGATATTTAAAGTAACATAGCTCTAAAGATGCATTCATTCATCATTACATCGTTCCAAATGTTAAGTTTTATGTGTATAAAATATGTTTCTTTATTCATTTCATTTGTTTTTCTCTAACTATGCTTTGCATATTTAGTAATTCGAAGATATTGCTTTTCATTAAGTCAACATTTTACTGTTGTGAAGCGTTAAGAATCTGAATTATATATGTTTGTGTCAGGTTCTAAGTTGCTTATGAATAAATGATTAAATTTATGTGGAGTAGAACTACTAAGGTACTCAGATCATCATTGACTAGATGTATCAAAAAATGTGGATAGAAACGAATGAAAACTAGTTTTTTCCGCTCTTCTGAAACCTTGATATCAGTGTACATATATGTTTTATTTGAAACACTTTAAATTTTGTGAAAAACATCCACTGACCACTTTCTCACATAGTGAAAATCGTTGCCAATTTAGAGGTAGGAATTTGTTTTTCGCAAGCATAATCTTTATTAACTACAGCAACAAAGCAACGCCTTATTTAATATATAAACTGATGTGAATTAGGTAAACTACTACAATAAATATCATAAACAATGAATTACAAAACGTCGAGTGAGTGATCACTTAAACTTAAATGTTAATTACAACAGCAGCTTGTATGAAAATGACATAATATGACATTAGGAACTTCTAACGAAACTTCACAAACACATCTTCGCATTTCTTTTCAGTCTTTTTCAATCAGTATACATTCTCTCAACTATAAGATTATTTAACATAGCTTTTGACCGTTGTTACACTTTCTGATCCGATCTGCAAAAAAGGAATTTCAGGCTTACTAACTGTTTTCAACAAATTCATATCACAGTTCTTTATACAAATGCATCACATTTTTGGAAACTGACAATCTGTATCTTACCAAACTTTTGATAAATATATCGTCAAAGAATATTTTTAAAGGCTCCTCATAATTGTGCTTTGAACTGATGGTTTCAAACAAGATAAAACTGTGTCTTCATAATTTCCAATCATAGTAGTTGTTTAAATTCAATATAAGATATTGTCATTAGTTACAAATACTTGCAAGTAAACACTATTATGTCCAGCGAATAAACAATCATAAAAACTTTCAGGTTGTTCAATAGTCACATTTGAATTTCCTCTGGACAAATAAACATGTTTCGTACACTGATTCACATCGTCCACCAATTCATTCCCGAAAACGCCAATTCTTCAAATAGTTCCGTATAAAACTATGAATAAAATTTCTGTAAAACGTCAATCATTTAATTATCAAATCGGTAACAAATTCCATTTTATCTGATTAACAAAGCTTGCTTTATTAGAGGATTAGACAGACGTGTAATTATGGATTAAATGGAGATTTTCAAAGCTTTTGTGTAAAACAACTTTCTGATGCATAAAACATTGGTTTAATCTAGTCAATATCTTAAATATGTATTTCAAAATAACTTCTAAAATAGATGTTAAATGTTTCCAAATCTTTAAATATTTATTCATTATGTTTTACTGAAAACATAGTTACTAAAATTTAGTTGCCATACTAAAACATCTAATGTTGACGTTATATTTTAGTATCTTCGTTAATAAATTAGAACTGTATTTAATCTGTCAGTGACTCTGATGTAATGCTGGTTTTCTACTAAAATCAGGATTATCTATATATCTCAAAATCTTTAGTCAAACCCCCCTACAGTAGTAGTTTAACTTTGTTATATTTTTTGTCGGTGTGACTCACGAGGGACAGTTTCCATGAGGTTTAGCTGCTCTGTATGATAAGGCGTCTACATTTTATTACTGTTTACCGGACTTATGGATGCATTTGTAGTCATGTTCTTGTAAGCACTCTTACAATCGAGCAATCTCTCCTTCGTACTCGCTAAAGTTATGTAACCATATCAAAGCTGTATGATCGGTTCTAATAACAAACTGACGTCCTGGTAAGTAATGTCGAAAGTAGCGCACAAATTAAACGACTGTTAACATCAATTTGCGTGTTGTACAATTATTTTTTTCTGACTTATGTGACGTTCTACTTCTGTATGCAATAACCTTTTCTTTTCCGTCTGAAGAAACCTCTTATAACGCAGAACCGATAACTTAGTTACTTGCATAGGTGTCTAAGATGAAACGGCCAGTAGTGGAAAAATAGTCTGAATATGATAAATTGGTGTCAATTATAATAACTCTTTTAACTGGGCGAAAGATTTTTGGCACCTACCAGCCCGTTCGAAGTTAAAAATCACGGAAAATATTTGGGTAAACCTGTAATAAGTTGATAAACCTAGGAATTTGTGGAGTTCATTAATAGTTTCGAATAAGATCGATGTTTTTTGCTATTTGAAAGTATTCCTTGATCAACTACATAACCTAGGAATTTAACTTGCTTCCTCAACAGGCAGCACTTCGATGGTTGTACTTTGAAATCAAATTTCTGAAAGCGTTCTATTTATTTATTTATTTATTTATTTATTTTAGCACATAGATATTGGTACAATGAGGCACCAAATACATATGCGCCAAACAAACCTCATTCGTTACGTGTGAGGGCTGTGATACTACCCGGGTGCCCAAACCGAAGCAGGTGCTTTCCTTAGGGGGCCACACCCGGAGCCTTCGACCTGAAGGTCTGATCCACAAGGTAGTGGAGCACCGTGAGGAAATGAAGTCCCATGGTAGCCGGTAACCAACAATTGGTTCACACGCCATTTGTTCCTTCAGGATACTGGAGCCCATGTGCACCATTGGTTTGGAATCAGGGTTTTCTAACTCCCCTACGTGGACTCTCTATGTCCGCCGACCCAGTTAGATCGCCGGACATTCGCTTTTCGTCCTCTCAATTTCGTAAACAACACCCCCGCCACGAGAAGGCAGTGAGTAGGACTTCCCTGGCAGAGGCTATATACGCGTGGCCACGTGAGAGCATTTCGAGAGGGAGAGCGGACTCTCCCCACTCTTGGTCATACCAGGGCATTCGGGGGCAAAGCGTTCTAAAACTATTTGCAAATTTTCTAAATGTCCTTGAATAGTTGCTCCGTGTACTATAATGTCATCCAGATACACCAAACAAGCATGTGGCACCAACTCAGACAGTATTGTACGTATTAATCTCAGGAAAGTAGAAAGCATATTAGTTTGATCAAACGTCATGGCTTAAAATTTATATAAACCCTGACTCAAACTAATGCCAGATTAATCAACGCATATATTCATATTATGCAAGTTATAGAGGTAAAATTCATTTCTAATTCATTGCCGATATTTTTAATGTTGAAAAAATTGTGCTCTACATCACTCTAGTTTATTCTAACTATAAACTAATTGTCTATTACCACCAACATCATGCAATTATTAAATAAACCATATAATCAAAGAACACAATAAGAAACGATATTCTTAAAAACTATAACTTCCGGTCAGCCAAACAGAATCTGTCATACTTGCTATTTTCAAAAACGAAAAGTAGTGTTAACTTTAAAACGACTTAGTTATTTTCTGTACT